GTAGCTGCGTCAGTACTGGTAGTAGTGGTAACTCAAGTACAGAGTGTAGCTGTGTCAGTACCGGTAGTAGTGGTAACTCAAGTACAGAATGTAGCTGCGTCAGTACTGGTAGTAGTGGTAACTCAAGTACAGAGTGTAGCTGTGTCAGTACCGGTAGTAGTGGTAACTCAAGTACAGAATGTAGCTGCGTCAGTACTGGTAGTAGTGGTAACTCAAGTACAGAATGTAGCTGCGTCAGTACTGGTAGTAGTGGTAACTCAAGTACAGAGTGTATCTGCGTCAGTACTGGTAGTAGTGGTAACTCAAGTACAGAGTGTAGCTGCTTCAGTACTGGTAGTAATGGTAATTTAATTTCAGATTGTAGCTGCGTCAGTACTGGTAGTAGTGGTAACCATATCCAATGATGAAAAATTTAGTTTTTAGTTACTTTTTAGTTGAATACGACGCTAGAAGTAAAAAAAAAAAAAAAAAAAATAGTATACGTAGCGTGACTGTTTATCTGAACCATTATTTGACAAAAGTGTATGGGTGTGTGCGTCCGCTCAAAACGAACGAAGCGATAGACCGAGTGTCAACAAACCTGACTTGTGCCTTTAGGCTTTCCTCCGGGGATTCACATAGCCGGTCATCGTTCGGGCCTTGCCCCTCCCTCTTTCCCATCTGGCTTGTAGTTATTACAAATTTTGAAACACAGACAGCAACATTCGCCTCTATAATAATTCTGCTTGGTTCTTTGAACCGAATAACGGGATTGACTATCATTTTTATAACGCGAACACAACTGGAAATTCGGATCGTGTTTATTAGCGTCATCGCATTTCAAATGTTTTGATCCATGATACTGTAAGCTAACCATTAGGCCAAGCCTAGTCCATGTCATTTTAGAATATAGGGGAATATAAATGCAACATATCTTAAACAAAGGGAATTTCCAGTTCTGTCGATAACGTACATAAGCTTATTATGTTGTATATTTTTAATACAACACTTTCAAAAGCTTTTTGATATGTCTAAATTGAAAATTTTCAATATAATTTAAAAGAAACACAAAAGAAAATACAAATGATCTATTTATTATATTATTTGTAATGTGGGGAATAAATATATATTTTCAGATCTCACAATGTCAATACTGTGAATTTTTATTTTAAATATATAATGTTTATGTAATAAAGTTAAAGGAAAATGCTTAGTATTATACTCCAAAAGGGTTAAAAAAAAGAGTTTGTTGAATTCATTTTGCAGCAAAAATTACATGAAAACATAGAAAATAAATACTTAAAATTAAAAATATCTTCCCCAATTATAATATGAATAATGTATAACCAAAATATATAACAACAATAAATAGTTAACAATATGACGATCTTCTCTTGCATTTGTTTGTTAAACCTTCTAACGTTTTCTTTGTTAATAAAATACTCACTTCTGTATAACGTAAAACACGTATTGTAAATCTAGAGAAACATTTTGACTAAAAAGGAATTAAAGAACAATGTAGTTTCGGTGTCAATATACCACAAATTAAGAATTTATTGGTGAATATATTGACATTAACGAATCTTTCTTTCCACCACAAGAATGAACATATAGTTGCTAGGAGCACTTATCGTCTGTGATTTATTTATATTTCTTAACTAGTTTTATTATCTTTGTCTCAATAAAGAAATTTCAACTGATCGAAGTTTGCCACTTTTTAATGTGTTCACATTTTTCTGTAAAATGATTTCTGCAGCTGAATTCGTATAAATACTGGGTGTATACCCTTTTAATCAAAGAGAGGAGTGCTGGGCGTGGCGTAATAGTTAACGTGCGGGACTGTAGATCCGAGGTCTTTTTTTTTTTTAGCAAAATAAAGAAATAAATAT